GCAGCTTTCCCTCTGCAGGCCCTCAAGTTGTCACACAAGGCCATTGATTGTTGGAGATCCCTACAAGGCGCTGAAAACTGGGGAGGGGGCACTGGAGGGAACATAAATAAACCAGGCTGCTCGTGTTTCCTTAATGCTGCCTTCAGATCCTGCCTAAAAGCAAGATTTGAGTCATAAGGGGAAGGTTTGGCCACTGAATGTAGCTCAGAGCAAGCACAAAACCCGCTCAGAAATTGGTGGGGAATGGAGGCTGCCAAATCCCAGGTGATTTCCTACTGGTTCCCCAACAAATTACTGAATCTCTGTTTTCACCTCTGGGAGAGAAACAACTGACAGCTTCAAAATGCAAACTATTAAACACCACAAATGCTGAAAGAGGCCAAGTGTGTTTCTAAAAGGCATCCAGAAAAATTTATCATGACAAAAATTTACACAGAACGAGCCCCCACCATCATGAAAAGAAACATTCAGGATTTGTTCCTCTCCAAGCTTTGACTGCATGACTCATTTAATACAAGTGACCAGGTACAGGAGAAAGGTCAAGCTTGTGATTTCACAAGTTATGACCCAATTTTCTCACTCATTTATTTATTTTGAAGTAGGCCATAGACAAATATTCCCAGGTCTAGAGAGCTCAAGCTTCCCTGTAACAAGAAAAAGCTGAAATATGTGGTTTGGCCATATTTCAGAGCCCCAAAATATCCAATTTAATATAATAATTATTTTTTCACACCATCTCATAAATACATTTTCACGCCATCTTTGCATCCTGAGCTTTTGCTATTTGGAAGGAGGGAAGGAAGAGGGGTAGAACACGTTTGTTGTGATTCATTCCTCCAGCTTTCACTTCTGAAAAATCCTTTTAAACCCCTTTGCCCAGAGCCTGAAAGAATCCAATCCAGCACTGGCGTTCCTTGCACAGACAGGGCGTGGAGTCCAAATTAACCTGCCCTCCCTAAACTGCAGCTAATTACAGGGAAATGAAATGTTTGCTTTGCTTGCCAGTAATTGCAGAACGCAGAGCTGGCTCGGTGGCGGCTCCTCCTCCACAACAGCTTCCCAGTGAACTGCCCCAAAAAATAAAGGAATAAACCAATTTTCTTTTCCTAAACAGAGCAGAGAGACCCAAAGCTGGGAGTGCCATGGGGTTTGCTTTGCTTTCACCTGACACACACACACACACACACACCCAGGGCTGGGATCACTTTTGCATTTCATTAGGCACCAAGCCTAGTTCCTTATTAATGCCATACCCAGCTTGTGGTTGTTATGAACCAGCAATGAGCCTGGTGTGGAAACAGCCCTTAAAAACAGCAAAAGACAGCAATTAGAAAGGGAGGAGAAAAAAAAAAAAAAAAAAAAGCCCATCCCCAACACAGAGCGCACGTAATACAACTGGAAATGTAGCTTTCAAAATAGCATAATGCTGCCTCCAATTAGGCAGCTTGAAGTTTTGCAAATATATGTACAAGGTTCAGAGGCACAGAGGAGTATTTGGCCCAGAGTTCACATTTCTGGGGAGTGAGTGCAGTTCCCTGGCACAGGAACACCACACCTCCATGGCTTGGAAGTGCTGAGAGCGTACTAAAGAACCTGCAGCAAGATAAATAAATGATAATAAATTTATTTTCAAAGAATAAGATGGATAAATAGTAATAAATTTAATATTCCTCCTGTGTGTCTTTCAAAAGATGTTTTAAAGAAGTGACAAGGCCAAGCTGTTGTGCTCCTCAGCATTGTCAGCTTTGCCTGGTTTAATGTGGCCATCAAGGTGAGCAGAGGAAAGGTTGGGAGAATTTGGATTGTCCAGGCTAGAGAAGAATTGGGATTCTTCAAAATTGAGATTATTCAGTATGCACAAGAACTGGGATTCTTCAAAAGTGGGAAAGGCTGGGAGAACTGGGATTGTCCAGGCTAGAAAAGAATTGGGATTCTTCAAAAGTGGGAAAGGCTGGGAGAATTGGGATTGTCCAGCCTAGAAAAGAATTGGGATTCTTCAAAACTGGGAAAGGCTGGGAAAACTGGGATTGTCCAGCCTGGAGAAGAATCAGGATTCTTCAAAATTGGGAATGGCTGGGAGAATTTGGATTGTCCAGCCTAGAAAAGAATTGGGATTCTTCAAAAGTGGGAAAGGCTGGGAGAATTGGGGATCTTCAAAATTGGGAAAGGCTGGGAGGACTGGGATTGTCCAGCCTGCAGAAGAATTGGGATTCTTCAAAATTGAGAAAGGCTGAGAGAACTGAGATTATTCGGTCTGCATGAGAATTGGGATTCTTGAAAATTGGGAGAGGCTGGGAGAATTTGGATTGTCCAGCCTGGAAAAACAACTGGATTCTTCAAAATTGGGAAAGGCTGGGGGAACTTGGATGGTCCAGCCTGGCCTTGAGGTGACCTCGTTGTGGCCTTCCAAGAGATGAAGGAAACATGGAGAGACCCTTCCAAGGGCTGGGGAAACAGGGTGAGGGGCAATGGCTCCAAACTGACAGAGAGCAGGGTTAGGTTGGACATTGGGCAGGAATTTTCCCTGGGAGGGTGGGCAGGCCCTGGCACAGGTGCCCAGAGCAGCTGTGGTGGATCCTGGCAGTGCCCAAAGCCAGGTTGGAGCACCTGGGACAGTGGAAGGTGTCCCTGCCCATGGGATGGAGTGACCTTTAAGGTCCCTTCCAACCCAAACCACCCTGGGATTCTGGGATTTCCCCTGACAACATCAGCAGCACCTTTCTCCCCGTTTCTTATCAAATAAAATTAAAATTTTAGACAGTCTATGCAACTCAAAAGGAAGGAGCAAACTAACAAACTTAAGAACACACCACAGCACCTTTCCCCATGGATTTACACTTTCCAGAGGCATTATCAGTTTCTCTGCCTCACTGCACACCCCAAAACTTTCATTAAGTGACTCCTTTGACAAACGAGGTCAGCACGCACTTTGCCTTAATTGAAATTTCCCTTCAGCCCTCGTTGGGCTGTTTTAGAGGTTCACGTGCCTTTACTGCTCTGGAAATGTAAACCAAGCCTGGCCTGCTCATCAGGAGCAGCAGTTTATGAGTTCAAAGCTGAGCAGACACAACCCAAAAGCATTTCCAGCCCTGCCTTCCCTTCTCCCACTCAGGGATGAACCTCTGGCCAAATTACACCCATTCTGCATGGGATGTGCAGACAACATCCACCCCTCTGACCTCTGCAGAGCTTCTAAATATTTCCCAGCTGCCATCAACTAATTTACAGTTAATATGTCTAAAACCACCCAAAGGCAAAGTGCTCCCAGTGGCTTCATTTACACCGAGGGAAAAATTGGATCCACAACTTTACAGAGAATCAAGAAATCATGACCATAGTGTTGCTTAACCTGTACAGTGTATTTTTAGCTCTCAGTCCTTCACAGCTAATTCTGCTCGAGTTTTACTCCTGTAGATACAAACACCAAACTATTTGAGCCTAAATTCCAAGTATGCAACTCAATGAGCATTTCACCTTGCTGGCTTGCACACCTCCCAGCAGGGTTTGTGTCCCAGCATTAACTCAGATTTTAGAAACGTCCATGGAAAGTTTCTCCACCATATATTGCAGTTTCCCAAAACAGAAAAAAGTGATGTCAGCTGAGCTATAAAGAGATTAGCAGTGCTGTATAGTGGAGTTGGAGCTATCTCGGTTGTTTAAGAAAAAATAAAGAGGCTTCTGGGACATGCAAACCTATTATTTCTGCCATAAAACACAAGAGGAAAGATGCACATAGCACACATTGCATGAGGAGGGAAAAAATGTACACAGGCATTTGTGGCATGCTTTGCTCCTTCCCATTTCATCTCCCCTCCATCTAAACTACAGCAAAAATCCAGAAATACCGACTGGGAACGAGTGGAGCAGAACACAGGATTAGGATTTCTCAGCAACATCAAGCCCTGGTTTTTCCACTGTAAAATGGAAGATAAAAATCCAGGAGTGAAGCTCTTTGTAAAATGGCTCAAGATCCTGAGAACAGCCCATGAGTCAAACCCAGAGCTATTAATAGGCCTCTGGACGTGTTTGTATTAGTATTTGCCTCTTGGGACTTGTAAAATAAATAAAAATACAAGAGAGAAAAAAAAAAAAATCCAAACAAATATTTAGTCAGGAAAACTCCCAGCTGCTAAAAGATGACTGCAGCAAAATTCTCAAAAATACAGGGAAGGGGTTTGGAGATAACCAAGGCAGCAGATTGGAGCTGCTCCCCCACCGGGTTCAGTGACACCTCCAGCTCTTGGTGCCTCCCCCTCATCATGCAGCATGATGACAACTGCCAGCCCTCTCTGGCTGTATTTATATTTATATTTAAAAAAAAAACAACAAATCCCCTCAGAATCTCAAAGCCTTTCTACATCACAATCTGATATGTTAGAACAAAACACTGCGTTTTCTCTCAGGGCTGATGGCTGTCACTGTATCAACACTGCCTCAAATCTGTCCGCACCACCACTGGGACTGATACATTTGTTTAAATTTTAGATCACTTTACAATAGAATAATAAAACACAAATAAAACAGTGAAAAATGTATTCAGGAAAAATAAACCCCACCCAGAACACTCAGAGATGGTTGCTTGAGCACCGGCAGCTAATTTAACATCAACATGCATAAAATATCAACTTATCAAAAATCACATTCCCTGTGGCTGGTGAGGAGGCTCTGGTATGGAATTACTGGGAAATGGAAAGAAGGGAGAGCTGCCAGCATCTACATCCAAAGCATCTTTCCAGGCTGTCAGAACCTTTGTTCTTCAGCTCAGCCACCAAGACACAGATTTCCACAGCAAACACATGAAACTGGCCATTTTCACAGCAAAACCACAAAGGAGCAATTCAGGTTTCATACAGCAGCTATTAAAAGATGAAAGAAGAAAAAAATAAAAAGAGACAAACCTCCCCTCCCAGTAGAAATTAAAGGAAAATTCCTTTTTCTCTGCTCTGCACGCCAGGCAGGTACTCGTGGCTCGGGGAACGGGAACAAAGGCTCAGCGTTACCTGTTCCACACGCCAGAGGCAGCTGAGCGGGCNGCTGCACAACCACCACTCCCCACCCTCTCCTGCCTCACAGGTATTCCCTAAAATCCATGGATGGGCTTTGTCCAGCCAGGCTGAAGGTGAAGCTCTCCAGCCCCCCAAAAATGCCCCTTCCTGCAGCTGAAATCATTCCTGGGCACTGAGTTATGAAATCACTGAGGTTTTAGGTGGAAAATTCAGCTGAGCTGAGGCTCCAGCACTGATCCTGGCTGGGAGCACTCAGCACCACACTCCTCCCTTCTCCCATTGCCCTGCACACCCCCTGGAAGCCATCCCTCATTCCCCAAACAAGTAAAAATGGATAAAACCCAAAGCCATCCCTCATTCCCCAAACAAGCAAAAATGGATAAAACCCAATCAAAGATCACAGAGGAGCTCCTGGGAGTTTATCTGTGTTTCACTGCAACCGATCCTCACTTGGAAATCACATTAAATCTGAAAGCAGCCCTGAAAAATCCCCTCGCCGTGCTCCAGCACCCAGCGCAACATAATTCAAATTAAAATACATTTCACCTCCTACTGTAAACAGCAGCAAGAGCAGGGTGTGGTGAACAGCTGGAGCCTTCATTCCAAACGGAGCTGGCAAGTTTAGGCTCCACGATAAAAACCCTGTAGACATTTTGTCTGATAACTGATGAACATCAGCACATTTTCAAACGAGTTGTTCCACTCTCCCAAACACCAGCACCAATTAAAAGCCAAGGCAGATTTTGTTTTTTTAAAACGCTGGGCCCTGAATAATTTGAGTCATTTAAATGCATCAAATGACTAAAAGTGTGTCTTCTTAGTCATGCTGCATTAGGAAAATCTATTTAAGTGAGGAAAATACACCTACAAGCAACGACAGCGTGGATTAAACATTGGATTTCAGGTTAGCTCACATATAGGCCTAATAACCACCTTAAAACCAAGCAGAAAAAGGTAATTTTATAACTTAATGTGTCAAAAAAGAGGAGAGCAGGGAGGATTCCCAGCTTCCAGCAGTACAAAGCATTCCATTCCAGCCTGGGAGGATGAAAATATAGCTGACCATAAATAGCACAGCATCCAGATAACCATGCTGGGGGTTTTTTGTTTTTTTTTTCTTTTTCCCTCCCCTACTAAAATATTACCAGAATTCAAGTATCTGCTATCTCCAAAGCTGATCAAAGAGAAAAATATTTAGATTCAGACAAGGGCCTCAACCTTGGAAATATTTATTCATGTGCCTAACTTTAGTTCCAGGACTGCTCACATGCCTGAAATGAAGCCTGTGTGTGTTTGCAAGGAGAAATTACTCCAAGTTGTGCCCAGATGAGTAAGAAATGTTGTGAAACCCATGCAGAAGAGAACAGCCAAAAAGTGCTTGCTTGACAGAACTAATCTTTAATTAGGAGATGAACAGTTGCAATAGAAGCTGCTTCAGTGCTTTATTAGTTTCATTTAAATAAGATGTTGCTCATTGCAGAAAAACCCTCTGAATGAATTATAAATTTCAAAGGAAAGCAGCCAACACAACTGATCATGCCAAATTCAGGAGGAGAAAGAGTCCAGGGCTGATCATTGATCTTTTTTAGGGATAAATTTAGAAGGAGAAAANTGATCTCTATTGCTATATCTGGGGAGATGTTGGCTTTTTGTGAGCATCTATATGTGTGCATATAAATGTATTTTATATATATATATAATATATACATGTATATGTATATATATTATGTATGCATTATATATACATATATATTATATATAATAATTATATATTATATACACATATATACACATACACTATATACATACATATATATACACACATACATACATATATATATACATATATGTATATATACGTGTGTATATATGTATGTATATATACATGTATGTATATATGCGTATATATGTGTGTATATGTGTATATATGTGTACATATATATGTATATATGTGTATATATATGTGTGTATATATGTATATGTGTGTATATATGTATATATGTGTATATATGTATATATGTGTACTATATGTATATATGTGTATCTATATGTATATATGTGTATATATGTATATATGTGTATATATGTATATGTGTGTATCTATATGTATATATGTGTATCTATATGTATATACGTGTATATATATGTATATATATGTATATACATGTGTATATATGCGTATATATGTGTGTATATATGTGTATACGTGTGCATACATGTGTATATATACTATATAATTATTATATACACATACATATCTATATATAATACAAACATAATATGTACACATAATATGTACATATAATATATAAACATAATATATGTACAAATATATATTATGTAAATATATAATATATTTATAACGTATATAATTATATAAATATAATATATTAATATGTTGCCTATTTAATATATTTTATATATTTATTTTATATATAAGTTTTATATGTATTTTATATACATTAAAATATATTTTAAAATATTTTATATATTGTTATTTAATATTTCTAATTAATATTTAACCGAACCCTCTCTTCTCCCACCTCCTCCCCCCAGGCAGCAGCAGCAAGGGCAGCCCAGAGCAACAGAGAGCTGAGCCAGCAAAATTCAGCATTTCCAGCTGTTCTGGGGGCTGAAAAATATTTATCTATATTTCTATATTTATGGATATGTTTGTTTTGTGTGCATCTATATGCCTGCATATAAATGTGTGCATATATATATATATATATATAAAATATTAAATATATCTGTAAATATATATTATATAAAATACATATATAAATATTATATATAGACTATGCAATAGTCATTACATATAGAGTATAGATAGATATATATAGATATATATACATATATATACACATATATAGATATATGTATATATAATTTTATATAAAATGTGCATTGATAAATATAAATTTGTAAATATAAATAATATATAATATTATCGATATTCATATCTAACACTAGTTATAGAGTAAATTGTTTTGACTTATCAGCCAATCACAACCAAGCTGTGTCGAGCCTCTAGAAAGAATCACAATTTTTTCTTTAATATCTTTCAGCCTTCTGTCTGTATCCTTTCAATATTCTTTAGTATAGTCTAGCAGAGTATTCTTTTATATATTATAGATCATAAAATTAAGGAAAATTACGTGTTTCTAAGCCATCACCCAAGTTGCAAAAATAATAAATTAGCCTTGTAAGAACAGGGGTGAGGTCCATCATTCCTCCCTATGTGCCAACACCAGCGTGCCCCTCTCTGCCGGGCACAGGGGCAAACCCAGAGCTCCAACCAGGAGGATTTTGGAGCGGGGCAGCCCCAGGGAAGGGCTGCAGGGTGAAGGGGCCGTTTGCTTTTTCTGCCCCAATAAGCTAATGAAGTTTGGGAGCGGTGCTGGCGGGACAGAAATTTCTTCACGCTCCACTGTCTGTTTGTGTTTGATTAATGTAAATCTTCCCAGGGCCCAGCACGCCCCGGGCTCCAGCTCCCCATTCACCAGCCAAAGTGCCACGTACAGACTGAGCAGGGCAAAACCAAGAGCTCTATTTTAGTCCTTGCCATAAACCCCAGAGAACTCCACCAAACTCCTTTCTGGTGAGTTGATTCGAATTACGCTCCTCCTCATGAAATTCTGCTCTTTTTTTTTTTTTCCCCTTTCCCCGAATTAAAAAATGAAACTGCAGCAAACCGCTTTAATATATTAATAAGAGTTAGCTTCTTTTTAGATCATTTTTCTTTTTAGATCATTTTCTTCTCAGATCATTTTCTTCTCAGATTATTTTCTTCTCAGATCATTTTCTTCTCAGATCATTTTCTTCTCAGATTATTTTCTTCTCAGATCATTTTCTTCTCAGATCATTTTCTTTTCAGATTTCCTCAGTTCTCATGACCAAATTTTTCAGCCTGTCCAAAGCATGCTGGTACCAAACATCATGTCCAAGCCACAACTTCAGCAAGGCTGCAATTACCCAAAAGACAGGAAGCCAAAGAAATCAACTCCTACCCTTCCATCTCCCTGCTCCATGCAATCATTTCCCAGCCAGAACTTGTATTTTCCATGCTTCTCCCTTTCCCAGTGGCATGCATTATCATTTTTGAAATAGCACAGGGCTCCGGCTCATTGGTTCCTATTTTGAAACGTTTGCCCAGCTCCTCAATTTTCTAGGAATTTCACGAATCAGAAAATGTCAGCTGTCCAGAAGAAAATGGGAACCAGAGGGAAGGAGAAAGCCAGGCCAGGATCAGCTCAGATGCTCACAGGAATATTCCAAACACAATCCTTGGGAAGGGAAAAATGATCAATATTGGGGGTTTTAACCAGTGTGGAATCACAGAGTGAATGAAACCGGGGAAAAGGGGCTGAAAATCCCAGTTTGGTATTCATGCCTGAGTGAGAATCACATGCACCAAACAGCTTCTGCTGAGGGTGTCAAAACAGAAGTATTTTTAAACTTGGGTTACAGTCTAAAATCAAACATTTCCACATTTTTCTCCCCAATGCTCCTCATCATCAAGTGAAACACAGATGGGACAATCTGACAGACCAATAAACCTTAATTTACTAAAGGATATTTTGATTAAAACATTGATATTTCCTATTTCCTTCACTGCACAGAGCAAATGCACATTTCCCAGCTGCCTGCCTCAGTTTACCCTTACCACCAATTTAAGGTTGCAAGTTGCTTTACAATCATTAAAATACATAAAACATTATAGAGTATTATGTGTTATTTTATATATTATATCTACTTATTTATGTCTTGTATATCTAAAACACAAAGATATATAAATACACATATATACATATAAATATACATATAAATATATATATATTAAAATATATATATATATATATAAATATATATATATATATATATATATATAATATCCTTGCAGAAACCTCCATCCATTTTAAATTTTCGTGCAAAATATTTAACTTGAAGTCATTAAAGTCACTGAGGAGGAACCAGGAATACAAAAGGAATATGTTTCAAGGCTTTTAACTCACAAGGGACATTT